AATGTAATCAAGCGACGGCATAGTTGGTAAATTGGCGGACTCTCAGGATGGATGGTCAAGGAGGTTCCGATCCTTGGTGCATGAAATCGTCTTGCTTTTAAAAAAAATGTTCACGAAGCTAGCGAAGTGCTTCCGTGCTCATATACACCATCCACAGGCTTCCCTTACATTTGATAAACACTGTGATGCACTCCAATTAAAAAAATCCCGTACTCGCTGTCGAACATAGGTGCAATTGAAGTCCAGCGAAGAGGAATTGTGGAAGCATTGCTCGAAATGGACTTGCGAAATAATGAGCAATTTTTGGTGATTTCGACAGAGAGTTGCCACTTCTTTTACCCTATCAAAGCTCTCTTCCATATGTTGCCAGCTAGATGTTCCGTGCGAAAGTTGTGTTATCGCATTTGTTAGAGGAAATTGGTTCAAGTGACGGACGCGAGCACTATCTGGTAAGGAACGGAAGTGATAGAGGGCTCCCCGTTCATACAACGGGATGCCCTTTACGACAACCTCATTATTGAGTGCACAGAGGACAATTGCGTAGAAGACTATCACAGTGATCCTCTCTTGTCAGCAAATCATAGCGAGGGACGACCCGGAACATCAATCTCGGGTTTTATGCAGATACATAAGACCTGGCGCATGACAATCATGGAAGTGTGATGCTTAATTATGAAACTAGGATCTGATTACAAAGCACACCGCACGCAGTCACGCAGAGGAAAGTCCTCCAACATCTCGTTCTTCACCCACATGCATTCGACTGTTTTACTGTGTCTCTGCTCGAGTGACTGTATCTTGGCCCCTGAAGGTCCGACCGTATCCTCCTACGGAATTGCGTGACAAATTGAAGAGATCATCGAAATTTTTCTGTAAGGTGGCTTCGGCATAAGATCGAATAATATCACAAGTCAGTTTCGACCACCCACTATTCTGCCTCGATAAGTCGACACAACGCTGCTCCTTTGCTACACAGATCTTCAACATTTTATACATGCGATCATGTCGAGAACGCAGCACTATTCGTAGAATCCGCAGCTTGATGTCGTCTACTTTTCCTCACTCTCTGGGGTGTTATATGTCCCGAAGTCGTTTTCGTGCAGTGTACTTCGCAATTGAATGGTGCTCCGGTCATTATTGCTACTACATTTTGAAAATCGAGAGCAGATTAGGAGATTAGCTGCCAGGAGATGATTTCCTTTATGCAAAAATCCCATTTGCGATGTTCAATGTGCCTGATAAAGTGAGCACTTCTATAAATACGGATCCGAGAAGATCGGGCGCTAGTTTTTTGAACAAAATAGGTTATCAAAACGGTGGTGTCGTGAAAATTCTTCCCGACAATTTTATCGCCGTTTGGTTGATAACCACCTCTACGATCGCACATGTGCTTCATCTGTGTGCTCTGACCATCTGACAGAAAGGGTGATTGCACTCTCACTGGTCTAATTACTGAATCAATGCCAGAACTATGGAGTTGAGTATGTACGGAGAGCTAGAGCAATACGTGTACGAATTAAAGAACATTCAAATGGAAAGGCTAGGTCGCAGCCGCGAACTGCCTTAAGTTGTAACTGGGTACTTTTTCGTAATCAGACGATTTTGAGGTCACGGAGAGATCTGAGCGGGTGAAACACAAACAGCCCAGAGGAAACCCCTGCCCATTTTTGGAGCAAATTTACGAATCCAGAAATGGAGGAGGAAGCGCGTTCATTTACGCTCCAACTCACCCCATATATGAAATTGGCACTTAGCAGCACAGGCAGCTACGGACTTTTATTTGCCCAGGATTGTGCAATGACTATTTGATCTTAGAGTTGTATGGTGTTGAGATATTCGATCAGGTAATTTCACAAGTTGATTCCATCCTGTTGAGCTCTAAAGAAAAAGGCGGAGTTATAGAGAAGTCATACATTAAGGTACTAGTCAACCTTGTATAGAGTTGCATCGATGAACTGATTTCAATCGTATTGCCAAAGTTTATCGGGAACCGCACGCAGAGGTTAATCCCTATCCCATAATTTTGTTTCAATCATGGCAAATGATGACTGTGTGGATATGAAAAGGTAATCTATTATGGATGATTCACTTGGAATTCGAACAGTCTTAAACATCATATTGATTTTGGAGGGCGACATATCAACATATGATACCGTAGTCAATTTTGGTCTGAATCGGAATCAGAATTGCCTCAAACAAAAAACTGTTTTCGGGAAAATCGTACTGTCTCGCAGCCATGAAAGACAGCTTCTACCTTTACTTTATTACCGTTGGAAGCTGGTTCGCATCAAGGTCTTTTTCTCAGACACTCGCACGTATATTTACGTAAATGTATGCTCATATTTGTTTCCGAGACTCATTTTATCAATTTGGACGTCAGCTTCAACTGACCAGATCATTTTCTACATTGTTATCACGGTTAGCTTGTCTTCAATCCCGTTCTTTCCGTTGCTGCTTCATACTTCCCCCACAATCTTGGTAGCAGACTGTGAGGCCATTTCTGATTCTGAACTCGAAACAACCCACGTCAAGCCACACATTGCCCAGCGCCGGTTGCCCACTTCACATTCGAGATCGTCCTGAAAAAATATCTGTTCCGTAAAGCCTCTCCGAATGCACTGCTACTGCTCCGAAATACGTTGAAATTTGTGTTAGGTAAGTTTTGTTGTAGAGAAGGCGAAACCACTAGGGGTGAGATTCTGTTCCTTCCCTAAACTTCACCGTCATGGTCAGTGCCTTGAAAATCTTACCTGAACTTCATCCGATTTTCATATGTAGGTGGTACCAAACTCCGTTACTGAATAAATGATACAGCCGTTAATACAGCCATCTATGGACTTCTCCAAACCTGTCGTTCCAGGGCACTCCCAGAATGGAGAGCGCGCCCTTTTCGGAAAGCGCGCTTGTAGACCTACAGCAAGTTCCATCTCGGTAACATGGACAATTTTCCCCTTCTTTTTTCAGAGAAGGCCACTTTGCCTATGCTTCAGAATGATACAGCCACTAATCAGAACAATTTATTCGGCAGCCAAACGATAACAAAGGAGCTCGCAGCGTGATTGATAATCGATTGGGCCCCCACTCCTCCGAAATACCCTGAAAATACGATTGTCTAAGCTTGAGTAAAGGCTGTCAATGATTTTCTGGTCAACTTTTTGCCAAGCATCGACCATTGATTCTTCAGCTCACTGACGCCTGCAAATTGCTTGCCTCTTTCATGAATCTTTCTTACCATGAGTTTTCATACGTTCTTCGTTGTATTCAAATCAGAGCTGTCAGTAGGCTATGGCAAATGTCGATTTGGTGCCAACAAAACCAGACCTAGATGCTCCGGTTGGCATGAATCGAGGCATTATCAGGCATGGATACGAGGTTCTGCTGCCGATTGTGGCGTCAAAGATCACGTACCGTACCGCATTACGACCCGATAAGCTGATGAGCTGAGGTTCTTCGGAACAAACCATAGATGAAGATGTTAAGGAGTAGAAGCTGTCGCCCATATCATGACTCCTCTTCCTTTGAAATCTGCAAGACTACAGCTAATCCTTTCTCAGGTCGTGCCAGTAGGACCGGTTGTCATCTGAGCCATCACAGCTATACTTTTTTCATCGGCAAAATAACTTAGGGAACGAAACATTAAGCGGAGGGAGAATGAACGACAAGAAACATTACTCCAGTCGAATCGGATGCAATTCCTAGCAAAAGCTATACGATTATCGCGATGCTTTTCGGTCACAGAGGGTGACTTCCTCATTTTTCACCTAACAATGAACTCAGACTTATTTATCATGTTCCAAACAGTAATGAACAAGACATTGATCTTCTAAGAGGGCTCGATTTCCGTATATGACTAAGTCGTATTCGACGTTCTCTGGAAATCCGTCGCCTATCTCATCCCGCAAGTAACAGAGGACGTCCCCTACTTCTTCCATTCCAATACTCGGCAGAATTCCGGTCGAATTTGTCGATAACTGCATGGCATCGACCGCAATCTCCAGCGATTCTACCATTTGGCAATTCCTAAAACTTTTTCGCGAGAATTTTACCTTTCTCAAAACCGGATGGTATTTTCCTTTACCCATTATCTATAATTGAAAAACAACACAAAAATGAAGCAATCATGTGAAAATGGAACGTGACGAGGAAATTTGAGGTGACTGTATCACTTCGAATCAGGCAAAGTAACCCTTTCTACAAAAATGAAGAGGAAAATTGTCCATGTTGTCAAGAAATAACTTGTTGTTCGTCTACGATTTGAATGGGGCACACTTTCCATACTGAGCCTATTCCTGTGGTGCTCTGGAACGTGAGCTTTGGTGGAATTCATACGTGGCTGTATCACCATTTAATACAGTGCAAATGGGAGGTGATACTTTATGAAAGGTCTCCACGTTTTGTCCGTCAGTTGATTTGCGGCGAGTATATGACGCAAGTTTTTAACTTGATACGTTTTGAGAAGTTACACGTACGCATATATTCTGCTGTACTTTGTGTCAACATCTCTCAAATCATTGTTGTTTGTGATAGCTGCGGATTTTTTTCTGAACTGAGTTGCAAAGGGTAGTTTGCAAGTCAAGCCACGAATAAGTTAAGAGTGTTGACGAATAGAGTGCCGAACTGAACGCGGCTCGATTGGCTCGGCTATTTAACTTCAGCCTCGCCTTAACCTCAGTAGGTAAATTTTTGTAACTTTACTCGATTATCTCACCGCATTCACAGCTACGCCGGGCTAGGCATCATTGCCATCTATTTCATTCTCTGCAGAAATTTTCAGATTGAATAGCATTCTATTCTTGGGAAGATTGCAAAGAGCTGTTCGAAGAGCCTCTTAACTTCAGGCAGGACATCTTCGCCGCTAGAGATAGCCGCAGACTGTGTAACCCCAAAAAGTTTGTGAACCAATATAGAACGAGATGAAAATAATATTATTCGAACCCTAAAATGGTGTTTTACTTTGTTCATGGTCTACCCTAGCTATCGAAATAATTCTTCAAGGAACCATGTGTGAGAACACTGTCTCAAGATATATAGGGTTTATTTCAGAAGAATTGCAATGTCTCTAGTTAAAAAAGGTTTCTTGAGTAAAATTAGGACATACAGCTTTTTGAGCATATATTTTAGCTTCATTCAAAGTTTTTACTGTTGCTAGTCTCTACACTTTTAAGCCGTGCAATCTAAACGTGATGGTCCCACAAACGAGCATTCTCCTGGTGCCTTCTACTCAACCTTCTCTGCAGGAAAACAACGGAGGGTCAGTACTGAGCCTAGAATAATGGTTTATAGAAACATTTCCTTGCTATTACAAGTGTCACATTTTAAAGTTTCAGGATGTTTTCTGTATACCTAAACATGAGAATGGTTCAGAAAGTTGCGCTCTGGGCCCTCACTCGACGGCTACGTTCAACAGTGTGCTCACACATAATTTGTATGACACAGAGGTTATATATTGAACGACATTTCATATTTCCATACCTTTTGCAAAACTCTTGCGGTTCCAAGGAGAAGATGATGTCATCAGTGGTTGGGAACTTCTGTGCGATTGAGGCCACTTCGCACCTCGGCGCGAGGCGATCCTAATTAGGTGGGAACAGTCCGTGATCTATAGGTAAGAAAATAACAACAGTAGAAATTGAAGTTGCGAATGAAATAAGGTTTTCCAACAAAAACTCATTATAATTGGATAAGAGCTTTAGTTTTGTATCCAGTAATAAGGGTTTATAAGTCTGCAAACTGAGCCAATATTCAGCTTTGCTCTACATCTCACATTTGACCTGTGCACAAACGTAAACTCTTCACCAGCAAATTGAAATCCTCCAAATCGAATGATAATTTTTATTATAGTGATTTCCTTTCCTACTGTTTGTATACTCTTCATCTATTTATCCTTTACTAGCTGCCATATGCAGAAGCATAAGGATCACGTAGTCTTCACCCCTAATCAAGATCGACTAGCACCAACGTACGAAGCGACCTTTATCGTTCTGGAGTACGCGTGTCGTGTTCATATTCTTCCACATGTGTTAATCTTGAAGACCCTTGTTCTTAAATTCGGATAACATAAGGAAACCAACTTGTGTCTTACGCTCTCTCAAAATCCTACTATCACCTGTATCACCTGTCGTCCCGTTGATCATCGACTTCCTCGAG